CTACGAGGAGGCACCATCAAAAGGCGTCATTACACCGTCTCGCGTATATTACATCATTATTCGCGCAACACGCACTCGCTCACAACTCCTACAATCTGAGATGTTGCTAATGGAAAGAACACGGGAGTTTTGATAAATTTGTGCTCGTTTTTCCCCTCGCGTCGAGAGTTTAAAAAGCTTGGATCCCCGGTGTCGTGTATGATGGCACGTGAAACAGGATTGAGTGGAAATGAGCCGTTCTGATAAGAACGCTTTGTGGACCGAATAACTGAAATGACTTCAATGTGCATCTCATAAAATAGAACATGAGTTTTGAAATCTCACATAAAATGCAGAAAAGCTGTGATTATGCCCTACTTTTATTATTGAAAATTTAATTCATTTTTCATTTCAAAATAATGCTGGGAACGAAAAAATTTTAGTGTTATGAAATCCCAATGAAAAGGAAGTATGACCAAAAACGCCAGAAGCACGTATTTTATATTGAAACAACGGAAAAACCGCGGGCAATGGTTTGTTTACCTTGCGGCACTGTGTTGCCCGTTCGCTGCAACATTTGGTGCACCCCATGTATTCCTCGGGGCATTCCGCCCCACTCATTATCCCCGATAGTTATTACTGTCATTTTTCAACTCGTTATTTACTCTGAGGAGAGCTGATAGCACGACATTTGCTCGCAAAGACTGAAGTTTAAGATTAGGGGTGAAGGATTTTCGAGCTGTGAAGGGATTTTCGCGGACTTATACGAAAATTGAAAATAGCCCTTTAAAGCAAGGAACCCCTATGTTTGAAAGCCTGATCTTGATAGTGTATTAAAAACATTATTAAAACGTTGTATTTCTCGTTCGGAACAGTATTGAGAAGGGTTGATGGTGTCTTTTGACTCATAAGCCCCTCTTAACACAAGTTCGGTAAATACGAATTGAATAAAAAAAATTATAACAAAAATTATCAAAGTAGCAGTGCATTTAAATTGTTAAATTATAATATTTTTGTATCAGAAATTGCTTGCAATATTCTAAAACGTTACTAATTGAAACAATATTTATCCAAACAAGAAAACAATAGAACTGTCAATTCGGTAGCAAGCAACGAGAAAAGTTTAATCCTGAAGTTTTATTAAGACTTTTTTAGACTTTAATTGCTGTACTAACATTCCAGAGATCTTAACAAGATGACGAAGATGAAAAATATCTGAAAATATTAGACATTTTGGAAAATAGATATGAATGAGTGCCTGTCTTTCTCCATACTTAAATAAATTCCACAATACGTGCCAAATAAAGTGTAGGATTATTCCATTTCAGTTTTCGGTAGGTACTATCGTAGAAAAATATAGGTATTGTAGTAACTTAATTGAACTGTAGACCAATATATTAACTCTATCTAGCTTACTAAATAGGAGTTTCACCTTATTTCTCTTACCCAGTAAATGGGGTAATCCTAATTTATAAAGAAGATCATAAAATGTGTTGTAATAATTGATATTAAATATAACATGAGTTTAAAAATACTTGCCAACAAAATCAATAAAAATATTTACACAACCAATTACTTAGTCAACAAGTAATCAAGATATTGCAATGCAAATCAAAATAAACTCTATAATCACATAAATCTAAAACATCGTCTTTACAGAACGATATTCTGATCATCGTTGATGACAAATTTCTTTCAAAGTTCAAAATTCAATGCACATTAATTATCCTTAAAAGCTTCCCCGGCTTAAGTTTAACGGTGACTTCACTTTGTCAAACATCAATTTACTTTTTGACAATGATCAACGATGAAATGGACGAATACACAAAAATCTGTTCCATCACCCAATATTTTAACATAAAAGAATTTTCATTCGTAAATTTGAAAAGTTTACGATAACAATTTCAATTGTTTGAATGGTTCGTGTACGTCAATAGGAAAACTAATAACTATCATTAAAACAATCTCCGACGTTGATGCACGTACGTGAAATTGCAGTAACAACTAATAATTCATAGGTTCGTGACAGGAAATTCAGGAAAACTGAATGGAAAACCGAACGCGTCTAGACATAGGAACATCAATAAGTAACGATTACGAGGTAAAAGCGCCTTATTAAACGCCACCCTAGGGCAATATGATAGGGCGAACTTTTATAAAAGACCATTTATAATGGATTCGCAGCCACACAGGATTAGGTTTGTAAATATTTTATTGGATCTATTGTGGCCGACTGCCGACTGATTGACAGGACAGGCCCCTTAAGGGACCAGCCGCACTATGAGAATTACTACTTGTTTTAATTTTATCGAAATGACAAATCGTACTCCAGATGTAGGGTTCAGAATTGTGCAAATTTCGCGTCGAAAAATAAAATTATATTCATTTCATTTTTTCATAAAAATATTTTTATGGTAGACTTGCGTGACTTATTGCCAACGTACTCGGGCCAATAAAATTCAATATGGCTAGTTTTTGTTTTGCTCCATTTAAGCACATAACAATTTTGTATTTTATATGAAACCTATAAAACCTTACAACACAATTTATATCCTAAACGCATACCAAAATCAATTTTTTTATTGAAATAAGATCTCTTGCACATTATGAAATGTGTCGATTTTGTATAATTATGTATTTTCAAAGTACGTTAATTGTGGAAAAACGTTTTATGATCCACCAATTAATTACAACGAAACCCCGGCGCCATATCGAAGGGCCCTCAGGTAAGGCCCATGCAGCCCAGCTGCTTTTCACTAAACGGGTAACTATTAACTACTTCTTAGTTGCAAAGTGCCTCTAAATTGAACACCTGAATGGCTTTCCCGGCCTTAGCGCTTAGCGGCCCTAAAATGCACCATATTAATCAACATTTAATTCCACATCGTGGGTAAAGTAAAAGCGATGCATGAACGACCGCCAAGGGACTCCTAGGATATGAACCGACAACATTACTTCGTCTAAAACACTACCGACCTACGTTGCAGAATATGCAAATGAAGAAGCGTCTAAAATGGCGATATTTATGGATTTCTAATTATGAAGTTAGGATATTTAAGTTATTTGGGTAGGCAAAAAATATAAAGAAAATAAATGCGATTGTTTCACAATAATTCGAATTTATATTTATTATTTTATTATTGACTAATGTTGCACAATATTTAGAGCTCATTAGTCAGAGCCGTATAAATCTTCAAGTACTTAGGTAGTACTAATTATCCACTGTGCCTTTTCTTTTTTACTTGTCTCACCTTCACCTTACGTGGTGTATAACCAATTTAATTACGTTTACCTTTTGCAGTCTCTTCGGAGTCTCATGAAAATTAATTTTCTTACCTGCAAAGAAAAAAAAGTATATATTAAATAAAAAAAATACAATTTTATATTGCATCAAATATTATGTTAAATGCTCATTAGTAATTAGCAAGTCCCTTAAGATTAATTGACCAAGCAGGAACTCGTGAACTTTATTAAGTAGGGCCAGCTACATAAGAAATACATGATGTATTTCATTAATAAATATATATATTAGGGATATTTTATAATTCGATTAGTTCGGTAACATTACCCTATAAAGAAGAGGTTTCAAATTCGTAATGAAGACGGATCAACGCGGCTCGACAGATTTAAATTTACGAGATATGTAAATAGACCATGCTGTGTTGAAAAATTGTCCTAACACAATTTGGGTTAATTGAATTTTTGTTCGTTAAACTCGATGTGAAGCACACCTCCGCTTAATTACCGGCGAGGGTTTGTTAATTTATAACGTCCGACGGACTTAGCGCACTCAAGTCCACGGAGCAGGATAACATCGAAACTCCCTTAAGATTAATTTGCCAAGTAGGTACTCGTGAACTTTAACTCGTTTGCCTCTGACCGAATTCCCAGGCGGCCCTTGAGAGTTTAGAATTAAATTTAATGAAATAAATTTGCGGAATCAGCAGTGGAAAGTTGTGTCTAGGGCCGGTCCGAACGGACGTTCATCGCGGATAGTTGTGGCCACCGCTGTTTGGCCGATCTCACTCCTAGTGCCCTTTACGTCGCCGTTACATTTAACTGTTATCGGCACAAACCTCTCGCTACAGCAAATTGTAAGGGCAAAGAGACTCATAGTAACACGATTTTTGTAGGCAAAGTTTTCTAAAGTAGATTTCTTCTATTGTGCTCAGAATTGTCCTTGTAGGTAGTAATTATTATTGAAATGTGAGTATCCAAAAGACAGGGCGCCATTTTGAGACAGGCAGCTTTAGAAGCCGTAGTATACAAAAGTTTCGGGTAGGTACGTATTTCGGGGGTATGGAGAAGCCGTATTAAATACGAACAAATACACATTATTAACTACGTGCTTACGTAGAATTAACACGTGTCAAAGAAATCGTATGTGGATAAAGTAGACTTATCGGTTTAGCCTGTCAAAAATACCGAAATGCGTGCAAAGTTTAGGAATGGATTATCAAGATTTTTAGTCATGTTTTTGACATACGATTTATAAATTTTTGCAGTTAGTCATAATGTACTGACTCAGTTTGAATGAATTGAGACGCCATAAAAGTTTGCAGAAGGTTTAGCAGAAGCGAAAATAAGATTAAAAGTAAAATGTCCGCGACTGAAAATATTTCCCGCATTTTGTATTATATCAAACAATCCGAGAACTGCTTATGAAAAAGCAATTTCTTTCCGTTGTAGACACTCATTTAGCCGTCAGTAGGCGACTGGCGGCGCAATGAGTTACAACTTAAGTGTCAATCCGGGAAGCGTCTGTCGAGTGTCACCAGCGGTAAGAGGGAAATTAAAAATTGAAAAACTCGCCGCCATGATGGCAGTGGCGTTAATGGCTGTACATAATAAATAAAGCGGGCCGCTCGTAGGCTTATGTGCGAGTCGAGTGGAGGGTGTGGCCGAGCCGCGCGAATGGGCTCTCTGAGCGACATCTGAGACGGCCGCGCCGGGCCCTTTGGAGTGCGGATCACTCGGCTCGACCTGTTTCATATTGCCCTGCCCGCTGCCTGAGAGCTGCTTCACTTTGATTTAAGAGAAAAAGCCGTTTTGACACTACAGTCCGAGAAACGCTCCACTCTCGTATGATAAAAAGGTTCTAGGTCAGATGAAAAGCGCGAATGGAAAATGTGGGCTTTGTTTCTTGTGTCAAAAATGTTAAAGGTCGTGTTGAATGTGCTAGAGGCTGCAACTTGACTTTTAATGAGTTCTTTCATGAGTTCTATTTTCAGGAATGGAGCGCGCATTCCACTTTCTTTACTTTCTTTGATCCCCTGTTATTGGTAAAGAGAATGAGTTAAAAAGGTTTCAACATATTATCTAAGGAAATATATTCACACATCGAAGCCAGGTCCATCATTACAATTTTTCAAATTCAAGTATTAAAATAATTTTTAGTCAAGTTAAAGTTTCTAAGATGTATACCCACAGACTGCCAAAACAACTTGTAAACCCCTTTTACGCCGCCATCTTGAATTTCTTGTTTCGCGCGTCTGAATGACGTCTGACAGACGGCCATTTTGAAAAAAACTCAAGTGCGGCTTCCTTCCGCATCGGTGGGCCGTCATGAGAACTATCGTGGCGGCGACACCCCTTTCGTTTTACATACATCGGATTCATTGTTTTAGTAGTACATACGATAAACTTTTGATGTTTGACGTAGCACCACTACACCCCGTATAGAACGTTGTGACATCAGAACAATCCGAGTCTAAAATATAGGGGCATTAAAAGTAGTTTGGCTTTTGGAAGATATAATAAACAGTATTTTTTTTTTATCGGAAAAGTAATAATATTTGGTTTTCATTTGATGTATGTTGAGACAGATAATACCTATAGACACGACTTATGAAATAATAAAATATAACCGTAGACAAAAATCTTTCAAAAGTTTATTTCTTTTGCAAAAAAGTCATATTATATCCTATCATCACACATCCAGAATCAAGTGCGAAGTGAAAATTAAAAATGCACCCTCACATTCCTATTTTATTTCAAAACTCATGGAAAACCCTTTAGAAATATTAACTGCGAACTTTTTCAATTTGAAACGCGAACGTGACGAGACATAATTTACCCAAGTATGTATTTTTGTGTTGTGTAACAAGCCGACGGAAGCGCGAGAACCGTCATCGTTTCCACTCAGTAGTTACTCCCTCACCCCCAGCCCTTATGTTTTAATTGTTGCCCCTGAGAGGTGGGAGGATCTAAGCTCTCAACTCTTTTATATTTCAAGCGTCATACGATGTTTAGTTTTACATAATAGTGAAGTGAAGCTTATGTAATGGCGGCCATTTTGATTTTAGCACCCAACCCTAAGAACATAATAATATAACTCCAATCAATAAAAATACCAATATAAAATGACACTATGTTAAATTAATATTTAGTCCATTTTATTATAATGACGTTAAATTTTTAAAACCCTTTTCGTTTACGTTGCTAAGTGACTGCAAGGGGTGTTAAATGCGTCACCACCTGAGAATTTTGAGGGAGAAGCCACAAATTTTATTCTCAATTTTAGACTCGAGGGAGCAATGTGGTTTCCTAGTAACTTGTAATAAGGATCTTAAATATCAATTAAACAAAAAATTCAAAACTAAAATAATTTCCAAAATCGAATCATATAAAAAAGACACAATACTTAATTAATAATAAAAAACAACATGATAATATTAAAAAATAAGAACTGTAACAAAATTGGTAATTTTACAGGAGTATTTGTGTAACAGTTTGCCATATAAACAATTTTCCCTAAATCGAATGTAATTACGAATGTTGAATACAAGTAGTGTGTATCAAAATACGCCTGTGGGTATAAAAACATGGGGAAACACCGCTACCGCTGTGAAAACACAATCCGGTCAAGATTTTGTGACAATAAAATAAAAGGTCTTTTGTGCAATATTATGTTTGCTTATTTCTTTTATTATGAGATTATTTTATATCCAATAGACCCATGGTCAAATGGTCCTTTGTTCGAATTTTAAAATCATTTCTAAAATTTTTTTAATTGGACGAACTCCCTCTTGTTAGTTCGCAATGAATAGTTTTTCATTACATGGTGAAGTACAGTATTTTACTAACTTTGTTATGACAAAATGTAATATATTTTAAAACTTAGTGTTGTTGTTAAATAATATTTAATATAAATTCAAATACACACGCAATAAATCCTAAAACATACGTTCCGTTTCTATTCCCTAATCCCACTTGGTACTCGTATTAAAACAAGAACAAACTAGATTATCTTAGGTTAAACGGGTTGACCCTAACGCACTCAAGGCTTAGCCCAGGGTAAATCAATTTAAATTTATCATGTAGTCCAGTTTAGACTGAGACCTGACTCACAAATAATTTGTTTATGCGTCTTGTAATAAAACAGTAATGGCTTTTGAAACAAAATAAGATTTCTATTAACAAATTTTTAAGTGAGTAAATAGATAGAGTAAAATACCTTTTTAATAAAATCCACTAAATAAAACTGGGAATCAAAATTATTTTAGTTTCTATTAAAGTTCATAACATTCGTAAAATAAGTAGATATTTCTTTACTAAAATACTTACAAATAATTTTAATTTTTCTTGAAAATAATTGTCACCCGAATGAAACAATTTTATTTAGGTATAAAGACACCTTTTTATTATATTAAAAACAGTTTGGTATAAAAAGATAAAAAATAGTTGGAATTTAGAAAGAACGTCGAAAAAAGTTTTTAAACACAACACAAAATTGTCAGTATTGATAGTTTACTCAAAACTAGCCAATCCTGTGACGGAGCAGGGTATAAATCAAAGGACGGAAACGAGTGCGATGACTCGAATGAATGAAGATCGAGTGTTACGACCTTACTCGTATCTAGCCAAGATTTAAAGACAAAAAAGAGTTTTCCATTTATATCAATCGAAACGAAACTTAAGATGGAGAAGCTGTTCTTACTTGAGCAGTTTTTGCATCTAAAAGCGTAGTTTAAGAACATTTTGTCTAAGCTCTACTTCTCTCTTGACTTAAACTTTAACTTGGACTTTTAAGCTAGTTAAACATGAAAGACTATTCTATTCAATCTCATGTGCTTTGTTTTACGCATATCTTTTTCTGAAAAATAGTTTCAATATTTTATGGAAAAAAATAAGGTTTAAAAATATCAAGCAAATACTCGTAAATTGCGGGATTGGACACTATTACTTGAACAATTCCATGTCTTAATGAAGTTAACTGGAAATTGTTTATAACCAGTAAATACTAAAGTAAATCAGAGTAGAAGGATTCAATAAACAAAATCAATATTGATTTCGACGGTCCTTTTACGTCAATGAAACTAGAAGTAGCTAATCAAAGGCCGAGGATTATACAAACAAAGTGTAGGAGCTTCCTTAGCGCAATCACGTCGACACCCTCACTCCAATACTATTTGCTTGAACCTCTTTTAGAGAAAACATTGCTTGTCAATACATAGAGTAAACAGTTGTTCAAAACAAGGGGCACTTTTGTCTCTGGATTCTCGCAGTTTATTTTCGCGGCCGTTTTTGTTACTTTGTCACCTTTGGATTCGTTAGTGTATGGTGTTGTTGTTTGTTCGCTTTAGCTCGTTTAAGCAGTGCAAGTTGTGTGCGATTTTAATGATGTCCTTCTTTTGAAAACTAAAATAAAAGAAAATTTTCGCATGTCATAAAAACAGCGTGATGCAATTTAAAAGTTTATATGTAATATATAAATACCAAATTCGATCTACAGTTGATGCGAAGATTGTAAAATCTGGTAACTAGTTTTAACTTTGAACTTAAATGAACAAAAAACTAAAATATCGTGTTTGTAAAAAGAATCGGATGTAAAATATATGTGAACGGAGAACACTATATTCCTCGGAGTCAGTAACAACTGCAAACAAAAAAAGGTCTGGCGACCGCTGCACCCGCAGAACTTTCAGTTCAAAAGTTAACTCTCCATGCCATAAATAAACCTTCGGTTTTGCTGGGATCTACGCCGATTGCAAATTTCGACGCTGTGGCGGAACTGCAAAGTCGCATAAATTACAGTTTCCGACGGTGGTAAAGAGAAAAACAATCGGGAAGGAGCACTTAGCAGCTTGACTAATCGTCGGTCTGTGATGACAGTTTTGGTAAGAGGAATTCGGACGAGGCTTCGACCGCAAGCCAAGTCGCCAGCCCGCCACAGCCGCTAATGCGTTTGCCTGTGACAAACTGCTGGCGGATAACGATTCGGTGTACTATCACTATTTGTCTGTGTACAAAGTGGTGTACGGACAAATTGTCACTAAACCGCTACCGTACGTAAATAAACGTACCCCTTAAACATTGCTTCCTTCTTATGATCAGATGAGATTGCATTATCAGATGTAAAATGTTAAAGTGTAAGTAAGTAAGTGTAAAAATTGATTGAATATAACTACTAAATCAAGTAAATTAACCTAGAAAAATTTGTACCAGTTTCAAGCCACAGATGAATATTGAAGTCCTATTTTAGTTTTAGTCAGCGCGCAAGCTAACGCTGACACTGGCGAGGTTGGTAAGTCGTTATTTGCAATCAATTTTGCTATATCTTACTGTAGTTACTATTCAAAAACTGTTCAATTACTAAATTTTTTCAGCTTTCTGTGAAGTAATCCCACAAAAACCAACAACTCTTCACATACGAACATTAGTTGCGCACGTTCAAATATTAACTGCAACACATTTCACGTTCACCTCACGGCGAACTGCGAAAATTGTTACACATGTTTTAAGATATTCCGTACATAGCTTTCCCGTGTGATCTAAGGCGCCTCCACCCCGTAGTTACGGCGCGGTCTCGCCGTACATCTCGCTACACGGGCAGTTCATTTGCTTCACGCCTCATACCCGCAAATAAATCAGCTCCCTCACGCGCACAACACCGATATAGGGAAAATTGCAAGACTTTCTTAACAGAACAAAGTTTTGAAGGCGTTAGGAAACGCGAAAATCCGTTGGAATGTATATTTATAGATTTTCAAGATTATAGGTAGATCTTGAAAATGCTTTGAAAACATGTTTCAGACGTTATAAACTGGTTCAAAGCGACACTATTATTTCCTGAATAATTTCTTATCGTGAACACCTACTTGTGTTAAAATGAGTTAAGATAAAACTAGAAGAATAATACAAATATTTTCATACAAGACAATTTTCAAAACACCTGCTCAGAATGTTTTATGTAGTAAAACGTTGGAACTGGTATTCAAAGCGTAAGGATTTTCATCTCGAAACGTGCCTGGCTACACAAATACCGTTCCTTTTAGTTTCAAAAGTGTTTCAGAAACAAATAAGTGCGAAAGAAATGGTCTAGACAAATATTAGCATGAAAATAGTTGTTAGTTGAGACGAGATAACATTGTAAGTGGGAGTCTGTTTGCACTGATTACAGAATACTCGAAGCGTACACGAGCGCTGGGCGATGGTTCCGTAAGTCGGTTCACACACACTCTTCGGCCGCAGCACGCCACTTCGCAACTTTCTTTGTTGCTTAACTATTGTTTGGAGTTAAACTTGCTCCTCCGGATACTGAATGGACAGAGCGGACTCAGTGAGAAATTGTTTTGTGTGAGTTTCGAAAAGGAAAACATTTTGCCAGTTGCTTAGGCAAATTGCTTAAACAGAAGGACCATTTGCGACTGGAAGTAAGTTGCGGTTTTCTCTCATATTTTAGTTAATGCGAGTTTAATTGCTGCTCTCTAGATTTTCAAATGCTACGGGTTTTTACCACTTGCTAAACTTAGCCCCTTTCCTTTTTAATCTTTCTTTAAAAACTTGGAAAAACGATGCTTGGAAAATCATCATAGTTGTTTACCAAACAAATTGTCTTTCATTTGTATTTTTGTAGAATTTATTTTGAAATATAAGCATATTTATCTCAATATTTCAATAAAAACAGAAACGTCACTCAAGCTAAGCTACAAATTGAAAATCTCATCAATTCAAAAACAACAAAATACGTACCGTGTATTACATCGAGTTTACGAACAAAACCGAACGAAAACAAAATTTACAATACAACACGGGGATTACGTGCAATTAAAAGTTTGTTTTCGTAATAACGTCCATATATCAAGACAGATTCTCCGGAACATCTGAGACCCGTCGTATGGTTGTAATGCAAATAGATTTTGGATACTCAGCTATGTGTAGCTACCTACATAATTTATACGATGTCCTTACTGTGTAAGCTAGCTCGGAACATTGTCATTGTTTGTGTATTAGTTTAGTGGTTTTACTTATACTTAAACACGTTTGCTGAACAATGTTCTGAAGTTAGTGTTAGTGCTTCGGTTCGTTTGTTTGTGATAATCTCTTATACATACATTACGGTAAATCATTGGATATACTTGCTGAAACTTGTAGTACTTAACTAGTTTTACGCATAAATCACTTTGAGAGATATTTAGTTAAATCCGCAAATTTAATATTATCATAGATTACATGAACTTATAGCATTTAAAACTCATTATAATAATGCTTGAATACCACCTCAAACTAACTTTTAACTTAAGGAACAGGTTCTATTTAAATCCCCACTCCAAAAAGACACAAAGTGGAATATTAAAGTTACGATGTCGAAGAATTTTAAACGGTAAATGACGTTGCGGAGGGTGAATTCATTGAAACTACTTATGCAAACGAGGTATAATGACGATACTGCAATATATGTTTATGGATGCACCTCATACGTTATACGTCCAACCATACATTCAACTGTAAACCAATTATGCTAATGAACAGTTCGGATGTGGGCGAAAAATTGAGAAGAGATTTTTGTAAAACGTCAATATATGCAAATAATGTGGGAAGGCTGTATTGTTTACATTGGGGCTTACTTAGTATAGGTATTTATAGTTACAGAATACATTTGTCAACTTTCTTTTAGACAACCTTTATGTTTTACTGAGTTAAAAATCACCCATTTGCAAATAAAAGTTTGTAATTTAATTATTTTGAACAATCAAGAAAGGCTTAACACGAAAGTAAGCAGTATTTCTTTCTTTCGTTAATAATAAAGTGTTTAAACAAGACCGAGTACATTTTTCCTCTTTCCCACCGAAGGCAGATCCCGAAGATGACCTTAAATCTTCACAATTAACACCCGCCCGCCAGTCGACGAACAAGTTACTCCGCTTACAAGGAAAACCGAAGTCAGGCAAAACGGGCTTCGCATAAAAATGTTTTGTTTGTCCTAATTGCTCAAAGTGGCTGCTTAGAACGTACTTTCTTGCGAGTCATTGTTTTCGACATCGCCACGATGTAATACGAATATTTTCGGCTACCACCCCTCTACGGAATTCGTGACTTTCAAAACTGGTAGCAAGGGATGTTTGCTGTTGTAAATAATAATTTATAATCTATAATATTGGTACACGGTTAAAATTATTGATTCATCCAAATATTCTTATCACCCGTGTCGTTTTTGCTTGTCTCTTATTTATATTTTGCCACTAAGTGTAAATATGTCGTAAATTGAAATGTAAATAATGTACTTTATCACTTGTTTGCAATCTTGTTGCAGTCAAGTTAAGGAAATGGAATAAGTAAGAAACTATTCCAGGACGAGGGGCCAGGTAACTTGAGTACCTACTCATTCTAAGTTGTGAATACTACTTTCTGTAAGTTTTCATCGACAAAAGTACTTTTGCAAAGGTACATCGTTACAACTTACTTCTAACAAAAGTTTGATGTAAATTCAATACTTCATAAACTTTAAGTATAAAAAGCGTGCAAAAATATTATGTAAGTAAAATAATTTAAAATGTACCTTTTATTACGATAAAATAATTTTCATCTTCGCAACATTTCTAGGAAAATATATTGCTTTAAAATTATCAGAATCGAACGTATTTTACTTAGCTAAGCGACATTAATATTTATCAAAGATAAAGATTAATATTCTACCAGAAATCAAACATTTGTTTTTAGAATTTCAAAAGGTGCGTACAATTTCTTCCAATTAATAATATTTTCATTGTTCGATGCTGATTTTAATCTGTAAAGCGACCTACAGAAACAATCACTCAAACAGGCCGTTCATATTGAATATTAATCGCCATTTTCACCGACGAATTGGAATAACCTGAAAGGCGAGTTGGAAGGCCGCGGCTGGAGGAAATAAATTTGTAATGCAAAGTTAGAAATTTCAATCCTATGTTACCGATAAGTAAACGCGCTTACGTCGAGCCGCGGACAAAGGCAAGAATACGTTTAGCATTTTACTTTCCAATTGCTACAGTTACACAAAGAAGCGCCGGGAACTTGGCTAAAAATAATCCAGTGCGGCCCGAACGATTAAACGTTGAGCCAATAAGGCCTAGGTATTCCGCAATTTATTAGCCTTGCAAATTCGAAGCCGCCTCTCCCCCTCTATGAAATATAGCTGTGGCCGCAGCAACCTTCCCGCGGCCGACGTCGGCGCCCGCTACCAACCGGTATTACACCCCTATTTTAGCTCTAATTAAAAAGCCATCAAAGAGTTTTCAGTCATTAATCATGAAACTGTTAACAGTGAATGCCGACTTCCCTCAGAGTCCGAGCCGAGGAAAAAAGGAGGATTAGGATATTAACAAAATGCCTAAAATATTCAGGGTTAGTGGAGTGGTAAGCCGCTTGTAAAAAAATACTTATCTGTGGTACAGATTTCGCGGGTTTAACGCAAACGAATCTTAAGTTGTGTCGAGCGGTTTAAAGGATTGAGAACCCTTTTTTGGGTATTAGAACAAAAAATACCACAGATATTTTTAAGCCTCGTAATTGACTGCTGCGGTTATGTTTTTCTCGTTTTCCTTTACTTTTTCATGGTTCGGAGAAATTCTGTTTACGTTTAAATATTTGAGTTAAGAGATAAAAGGAAAGTTGTTATTAGAAAGTGGATTAAAGGGATTACTCAAACTGACGATAGATTTTGATTAATAACTGGAATATTTTTCCTGTGAAGTCGACTAGACGAAAATAAAATCGATTCCTTAAAACATCACTTCAAACTAAATTTGCTACTCATGGTATCATAAAGTTATTATACACTGCATCTTCACCGTTTATGTATACAGCTGAAGTCTGCACTCTAGTCTAAATTCATTACACATTCAACAATAACACTAAGTTGAACAAGATTAAACCTAAACCAATCATCACAATCTGCAAGTCGGTCGGTTCGTTGAAGTTCCTCGTTCGGTCGGCTTCGGCTGCAATCGCGTTAATTCGTCGCCGAGTCTAACTCGATGACACGCGATTATCTAAACAATCAGCAGTCGGAAGCGCGTTGATTTCGACCACCACTGATGAACCGCTCTGTTTGTTCAACACGTATATTTGGCTTTAGAAATGTAGTGCTTCGTTGAATGGATAAATTTAAATTGGATTGGGTTGCGCTCAAGTGTTTAGATAAAAGACGATTTTAGAACCATGTTTGGTTTCTTTTCATTTGTTGCTTATTCTTTTGTTTAGTAATTGGTATCAGAGTCAATGCCTTTAACCGAATCTGGCAGCGTTTAATAAACAAATGGATCTATTCAATAGACTGCTCTGATTTCGAATCCATATCCGACATGTCAAACTTCAAAGAGTTCACACCATTGCAGCTCCCATAATTTGCAGAAATCCGACGCGAAAATAGGTCAGAGTAAAGCCAAGCAAAGCAATCTGTACTTTCATATGCTGTGTGTACTTCTAATCACACAGTGCAATATCTGGAACCCTTTCGCCACTAGAGACAAACAGCACGACCAACATAATCAAAATGACTATTTGACAACCACGAGTATACTCAATCATAAAATTGACGTCATCGAAAGCTCATTCCCACAAGACTGCATCAACCGATCTTAACGAGCTCAAGTGACAAATCCAAAACTTCAAATTTCAAATTGATCGAGTTGAAAGGTTTTCAATTAGCCAATCGCTGAAACTGAAGTCCGACTAGACGTGTATTCCGGACGCTCCACATGACAAGTATGTACTGCATGACCGTGCGAACACGAGCATATGGACCGATTCAAGGGCCCTTAACCGCCCACTCGATAACTGATTCCGAATCACCGAATGATATCGATTATTTCCGACAAACCGCGAAACAATGACCCTTTTATCACTTTGTGTCACCGAAATCCGTGAGAATTGTTTGTGTTCCGCAGAAACAAAAGGTTTACCAGTATTACAGTAGGATCATCGTTTCGTGAGGAAACATCGTTTGAGCCCGATTTATGTATTGTTCTTTCCTTGTGTTCACAACCGTCTACAGATTTCTTGTGTATAACAAGTCAGGGTCGAAAATGTCGTAAATATAACTGTTTAGTGGACCAAGTATTCAATTTTTTGCGTCAAAAGTAATATTTGTATACTCGAAACTTTTTTTTTGTGAGGGGAAAATCATCAAATGACTTCTCCCGCCCAGGGCCGGGCGGGAGGGAGTGTCAGACTCTGACTAAAAACCCCCCTGTTCCTTCTCCTGCTCTGGACCACCATAAAGCATGTTGGGTATATAATTTTTAAAATATCTAACTACATGTTTGAAAATAATCTAAACTTTAAAATGAGACAAATACATACTAGTAATAAAGTGACACAAAAATTAATCAGCAACTCTTTAATTTAGATAACCAGATGAGATGCTGCCTTGGGCCTCTGAAACATTTATTGTTCAAGCAACAGATACACATAGCAAATGTTTAAAAGAACACGAAAAACGGAGCTTACAAGCCTTTCAGGTTGCGCAGTGTAAACAGAAATTTTCATATATTTCATTTCTCTCTAAAATGGTAACCTATAAATTGTAATATAAATCTGTACGGTTGGCTTACGTGTATGTCCTTAGGCTAACTTTCAAAGAAATCATAGAAATATTAAAAACGCCGCATACACTAAAATATTTACGGTCTCGTAAGTTGGGCACAATAAAATATTGGGCTTTTACAGTCCCACGAATTTCCTTTCGTAAAACACATTACGGTACAATAATCGCAAATAAAATTATTTCGTGCTTTTATAAAAGAGTCAGTGATCGCGAAATCGTTTCTGAGTAATATTCCCTTTATAAAACTAAGTAGTACAAAGTCACAACAAACCAATCCAATGGCGCAGTTTATCGTAACAGTGGCGTGATCCCAAGCCAATTTACGTTAGTTTGGGGGAACAAAGTAAAAAAGAATAACAATAAAGTAATATAATTTGGGAAGCCGGCATTACCTATTGTGGGGTTGGCTGGTACTAATTTAATGAAGGAATGGGATATACAGATCTTTGATAAATACCAGCCTTATTTTTAATTAAGTTAAAAGTTTCATATTATTATTTGAGCCAGCTTGCATTCATCATGATTAATAGCCTCAGAATGTCGCAGCACTTAACACCCGTTCGGTCTAGGAGACATGAAAAGTTAATCTCATTCAACATTTTATAAGTTAACTCTGTGCCGTGAAGTGAATGCAATTTATTCCAATAAAACTTAACTAGGTGAAGAAGGTATAAAAAAATATTTTTCAAGTTTTTCTTTTTCACGTTTTATAAGGAGTGGGCAAAGAATGGATGAGGTATTGCCGTATTGCGACTTAGGTACTTTTAATTCTGTAGCATCAAATTTTAGTGTCCGTTGTCCGTGTTGTATTATATATTTTATACGAGAGGACTGCTAAATGCCTATTAGTTTACAAAATTATATTGTAATATTTTTATTAGTAAAAAAATACTTTTAAATTGAAAATCACTTACTAAATGCTCATAATATTTGAGAGCTGACGTCACTGTTTCGCGAAATCGAGGTAATGGCAGACGTTTCGCACAATCGACAATTCTAGTAATGGATATCTTTCGGGAGTTATTACTTTTTTTCTCTTAAATCGTCTACAGTTGTCAGAATTTAATAATAAATTTTAATCAGTATCTAAAAATTAATTAAGTTACTTAAATAATTACAAAAAAAATGGAGAAGAGTCAATTTTATTTTTCTATTGAAAACACATAAAGCCAGCTTAAGAATTTAACCTGTAACTTGTAACTTTAACTCCTTAGGCATACCATTGCTTAAGAAGTTATAAACGATATTAATAGTCCAAAAATTCCTAAAGTAGGTATAGGTACCTAATTATGTTTAAAAAAAAAATATTGAAGAAGTAATCTTATTTAACTAAAACAAAATAAATTTCAACAGCATCAAAAGCCTGAGAGAATTCGAGAAAAACCTCTTTAATTATATACTCAGCATAAATAATAAAATTAGACTTAGGTACAGTTGTAAAATTTTGCCATGATAGCACCATAAAACCAATATCTATACATGATGGAACAGAAACTTTATATCATCAACGTCATCCCATAATAACAACATGGACCCCCAAAGTTTAATTACGGTGAACAATCTCGAGACATTTGTTTTTGATTGCACAAATCAAATCTAAGTAAACACAGTAAGATCCCAATTGAAATACGGTGCCCCAGGCCGATCACCTGATAAAGGCACTTGATAATTAATTTTCTAACAGACCTTACCTGAGTTTACAAGATTGAAACCTTGTAATATACTTCAGGTTGTGTGCTTGACATAATTGCTTTGCATTTTAATTTATAATAAACTTTTGGTTCTTATTAATTTCTTAATTAACTGTCATTGATAGTTTGCTAATTTTCTATAATTCCTGTTTTTATTTTCTTGGTGTTGTTTTTTCTTACTCTGGTGAAGAAAATTACATTTTTCACAAACTCTACTCTTTTTACGGGTGTTGTTGGGCCAACTTAGATACTACAGAATATTTGATGGATTGTAGGTACTTAATAGTGGTTTCAGATATTTCAGATAATAATAGTGTGGGTTTGGTGGTGGCAATTATTGCTAACTTATTTATGTGGAGGAGTTCCATAGATGTCATTTTATGTAGTAATAAAAGTAAGTAACAAATTGTTTTTTCCTTAGTCATTTACTTTTATTGGCGATTTTGTACTCTACACGCAGTGATCAAGGTCGTTTATTAATTAACTTTAAAGTTTAACATGACTTTGTAACTTGTGAATTTTTGAATGAATTAATATTGACATTTTAAAATTCATTACACTTGTTCTTTTGTACAATCACCCAAGTCACCCAATTGTATCGAGCTTCTTCGTTAGTTTTCTGATTATTTGTTTTCTAAGTATTTTTATTGTTTTTTTTTTCATTTTTTGACGCAGCCACTATTTCTTTACCTTTCAACCACAGAAAAAAATATATGAAGGTTTTATTTTAGTGCTTTCAAACTCCAATTTTCAGCCGGGGTTGCGGGTATAAGCAACAATGTACAAGCGATAAACCGTGGCGCCGGCCTGGAATATGAGAAGGAACTGGGTGGTTTTTAGTCAGTAAGAGTCCAACTCTCTCACCCCACCCAGGCAGAGACCAGTCATTTGTAATTTTATGATTTTACCCCCACAAAAACAAAAACTCCAGTTGGTTCTGTAAAACAATGAAATAATTTAAAACAACAATAAAAAACATAATAAATACCCAAAAACGGAAGATAGTGAGGTAAACATACCTAGCCAACAACGATACAATCGTGAAAACCAAAATCGTTAATCGTAAACTTTCCTTTTACAATGTCATTAGGGAAATTGGCATCATTAATTTGTAAAGGCCCCCTTTAACTGCTTTGATATCGACGAATTTAAATCGGTAATCCTGCGGTTTGTTTTATGGCATCGATATCAGACGATTTATATCGATGATCGTAAACGTACGGTTAATACATCGATATCAATGTTTAATTCACAATTCGAATAAATACCGTTGTGTCGCGTCTCTCTTTTTTACAAATCAACGACAACTGGAAACATTGTTTTGTTACGATATTGGTCTGTTTACTGAGTGTTTCTGTTAAATGGTTCGAAACGTTATTGCCATTCATTAAAGTTCAATTTATCATTTTATTCAATATATTCGGTATTCAACGTATGAATGAAGTTGGCCATGCAATCACAAACTTCATATGGCCGGAATAAAGTCGTTTCAAAATTTGTTCCGGAAGAAGGATTAAATCGGAAAATATAAAGCTTTATATCGGAGTTATACCTTTAAAACAATTCTTTACATCGATTTTGAAAAAAGAACAGGACAAAGGAGCCGTACACTGATTTCATTCACATGTTTTGATTGGAAGTGTCAATAGGGGCGCGAACGAAAGTTCCCGAGTATAAAGTTACAGCTAAAACAAACTAAAGGCGCAATGCTTAAGTGCGAACAGAAAACGAACAAGATCCACGTATCGAATTACCTTTGACGAAAGCGGATTGCATTCGAATAAAAGGAGACTCGATAAAGGAGACCCGTTCTTTGTGTTTATTGTTCCTGACACCAAAACAGTTACAGCTTAGTTTTTTTAGTAATTCACTACTTATTTAAAAACACAAATGTAAAAGAGACAAATCTTCAATCTGTCATCAAACACATTTCGTAAGTCAGTCTGTTTATTAAGTAAGCTCATTAGCTTAGTTCAAACTTGCAACGTTATCAAGTTGTTAATAAAACGTAAACGCTGAACAAAATCAAAGCGGCAAAATACAACAGACTACGTTGTTCGTTAAATGTTCACTAAAGTAAATATTTAGAATCGGCAACTACCTAGAATAGGATTTGTAGGCGTCGAAAACAAACAGGGACTTCTAACATTATGGCTGAAACCAAAGCTTAATTAAGACTAGGCACCTCTGCAGAGGAAACTAATTAAACTTATTCCATTATTCGTGCAAACGAAATTTTAAGAGAACGTCCGGGGACAAGCTGCTGCAAGAAAGATTTATTATTATTGCATTAAAAACGTTTTGTCAGGATCGTTTCTATTACTTCTTTATTTAAATTAAACAACTGCAGTACAACTTTGTAAGGAAATTATAATTTTGGAATTGGAGTTACTTGTTCAAGTAGACTAAGTCTTTCGTAGCTTTGTTATTCTAAAACAAAATCTGGGTTTAAAACTACTGTAGCTTCTATATGGAAAAACATGATTTGAAAGCGTCTGTGAAGCGTCAGAATAGTGGACAAACAAATAGAAACTGTCAGTTCAAAAGTTGCACCTAATTTTTAATGTTCGATTTGAAACCCAAAAACGAAATGTACGCCGCGATGTAGAATTCCGTTCCCAATAAGTACACGAACAAACCGCCAGTCGCACAAGTTGCTCGAGGTGCAATTTCCAAAAGTATTGATGACTAGAACACAAAGGGGGCGGAGCAGAGATTAAGTAAGTAACTTGTGAGGCTTCAATGTTCGGCCATTCGCCGCACAAAGGCTGAAAATTTTCCAGACGCGAAGAATTTTGATGCTTTTCGGCAACAATGGCGTCAGACGTCAGCGGAGTTTCTGATGAGTGTTTTACGAGTGGAATTTGTGGATTCTCTTCTCGTTGCCACAATTGTTTTAAAGTGAACAAAGCGGCCTTAATACAGTTAATGTGGCCTGACTCAAGGTCCCGTCGGCAAAGGAGATAAAGTACTGAATGAAATTTAATTTAGATTTCTGTGTGGTGCACGGCTTGTGCAATATTATAACCATACGGAGCGAGTAATTGTATTGCCGGGTTGTGTGAAGACACACGTTGCTGTTTAATTTACTTTCGATTCTACCTATACACACATTCATATTATATGCCGCTGCTTATTTACTTAGTTCTAAAACGGAATAACTATATATTAATAATTTTAGATTTACGTTACATTTATCAATGTCTTTTCGCTAAAATAATGGAATCAATTAAATTAACATTTATGTATGCCTATAATTAAAATGTGTCATGTAAAAATATAATTTCAATATTTTAACAATATGCAGCAACCTAACACATCTCGTTAAAGTCATGTCGGTTTAAATGACATCCGCAGCTTTTAATAAACTGATTACGTCACAATTGTGACAGATTGTTATTCCAACGGTTATGTATGCACATGTAATGTAAAATTAAAATAATTTTATTAATTAGTTTGCAATAACGTTTCGCGTAAATTGAACTTATCGATGAAATTGCGCTCCGGGCGTAATGCAATTATTATTGTTGGACTGCATAACGAAACAAATGCACTGTTACTAATTAGTGCGTTTGTTTACACTTTATTCATTAATTATTTAATCTCTTTAAGGTCATATATTTGTGAAAAGATCCGCGACTAGGTAACTGCAATAAAAAATACACGTAAAATTTATTGGTGATTTGAACTAGCATGAACCTAAATAGGCATTGTGAAACAGAGCCATTGTATTTTCAAAGATTTTGAACGCACTAGAGAAAGTCAAATAACGCCAATAGTGTCCACAATGATCTCAAAAATATGCGAGAAATTTAGTTCCAGCATGAATGATAAATGCACCAAACATTCAACCGAATTGACTGCCACACGCCACCCGGCTCTATCTGCTCGCCTCACAGAGTATGCAAGCATAAAACCATTTTATAAAACCCCGACTTTTTCCCATTACTTCACGCAATATTCACTAACAATGGACGCTTTATTTTCATATGAGGTTGCATCGCTATCAGAGCAGTTTCATCGGCAAAATGTATCCGAAAATAGCCCGTTTATAATATAAAATGCCAAATATATGCAACTACGATGAATTACTTAACTATGCTTGAAACGATAATAGGCCTATATTTAAAATGTTCTGGGATAAGTTTAATGTGAAATCGTTTTATGGTTGAGAAGACCATTGTTTCCGATTCGGTTTCCAAAGTCAATATGGACTGGCTTTGTCGTTAATGATATATTAAATAACTCGTTTTCAAGTTAAAAGATTAAGCTCAAACAGATCCTGATTTCTAGGACGATTCGGTGGTAAAGAGTAGCCTAAGTTGTTTCTTGCTATCAAATTTCAAGTTTTCAAATACATTCGTTAGTTTTGGAGTTTATTTGATATAAAACATGGAAACATTCAAATCTTTTTACCTTTTAATATTATATTGTTGAAAAAAGTAGTGCGATATAAAACAATTAGGTACGAAATAGCGTTTCATAACTGTCAGTAAATAGCTGTAATATTTAACTTGTGTAAAGCAGTGTCGACGGAACGCTTACTCTTGAATGCGGTCATTTTGCAAAGCAAATGTTGGGGCGCGCAAGAATACCGGCAAATGTAATCGTTTGTTTAGCTAGAGTTTCCGTTCTAAGGTCGTTTGTCGTCCATTGATAATATCAAGCCTCGATTTTTTTCCTTTGTTTAAAAAAGTAATCAACCTACGTCAAGTTTTTGAATTTTACCGTATCTATTCGTTGATATGCAAAGCAAGCATTGTAGGTGTATGTAAAATTTCTAAATTCTAATGAAAGCGAAATTAATTTTGACGAAATACAAAATTATCTTCATAGCATATACATGAACTAAATATAATTAATTAATAAATGTAAATGTACTTATAATTTTAAAATAGATTTACAACAACGTGTTTAACATTCAAATTAATATAATTTATCTACAAATGAAACCAAAATATTGAAGGTGTATCTAAAATTAATGGCTCATTCACAGTAATCAATGTTTATTTGCAATGTGGTCAGTGCAAATAGATTTCATTAAATAATTTGAACGTTAACAGTAATATATCAAAAGTATGTAGAATATACATGTATTGACTTATAACTAGTTTTAAGAATACGTTTTTGAAGGCAATGTTTATTTACTTTAACATATGTTGTTCTATCTTTTACGTAACAAACGATTCAGTAATTCATGGCATATTTGACCCATGTAAAAATCGATATAAATGATAAAATGGAAAGCGATATTTTCTGCGCATATAAAAAAGAACACATATTATTATGTATACGGAGTACCCCTACTTGTATCTCAAAACAGATACAACAAAAGATTTGGCATACGATATTAGCAACAAAACATTCAACATACATAAAGAAATCGTCCTCTTCCAGAACCAACAACACGAGATAAAATGTTCCAATCTATTCCAAATACCTGAACGTTTGATTCCAAAAAGCGGTTTGACGAAGGTAAGCCTCCTTGGAGGGTGCTCAACCCTTTTGTCTCGTGAGAATACAATGGACCATCGCAATGGTTTGAAGACGCGACATGGGACACCCTCCACTGACTACGTGACTAAATTTTAAGCAAAATGTTTTGTGGCCAACCCATATACGAAATAGGTAATGTCATCTTGTGTTGTTCTGTGTCGTGTGTCAAATACTATTGTGTAGGGGTAGCGAAAATAGCTCCAAATTGTCAGAGCTGTTCAGAAAATAAATGTGAACATAATAATACCTGGCTGCCGACAAAGCTCAAATAAATAATTCGAATCTAAAATAAAAGTTAGAAAACTTCATACGAATAAAAACTACAATTGTTAAAATTTATAGACGAGTAATAACAATTATCATTAAGGAATAACGGAAATTCCAAAATAGCACGGTTCAGTAGTATTGTCAATAAAACTTGCGATCAAATGAAACGAGAAACAAAAACACGGCTATAGTTAGAAGGCATCAAAACGCATGGTCAGTAAGTCAAAGCGGTCAGATTGTTCGCCCAAGTTTCGTCTAGTCCGGACGTGGCACCGTCTGCCTCCTTCGCTTATTGTGTGATTCTTTTTACCTTTTTTGCTTTTGCTTGGTTAAGTGCACTCTTTCTTTCAACTCGGCCTGTGCGTATTTTTTGTTTGCTCGCCACTAGCATGGACATTTGCCTCTCAGACTCATCCAGCTCATTCTTGGATCGTTTTGAGTGTTTCAGTTCATGGTCACTTAAGTTTGAAATAGCGAGCTCCCTACTTTAGTTAAATATTATGTTCTTTTGTGTTTGTAGTCGTTTCTTGGGTTGTAACGACTTTTGTTTGGCTTTAGAATTCTAAAGCATTAAGGGGCTTGTTTTAGTGCTCCGTATTATCATTGAGGAATTGTTATCTCTCTCTAGAATACTTTATTAGTACAATTGTAAAAGTAGCTAGTTAAGATTCTAAAGACGGTTGAAATTATGGCCTTGAAATAATGAAAGCGGTTCTTTGTTTATTATATTTATTTTAATTTTGTAGAAGTTTTATTTGTTTCAAACAAATCTTTCTATTTTAGGTAATAAATCATAATCATATCGCAATCAAATCAAAACATTTACCACGAATAACTACTGCGATTAATCAAACACAATTTTGCTATTTGCCAATACCACTTGCACAAATGATTTGGTTCTATATTTTATTTGCAATTGTAAACTCCCCTCGGCGTAATGGAAAACGATTGGTGAACTCGGGGGCGTTTGCTTCGGCTCAAACGTCATCAAAAGTGTCAATCACGGATGTTTTCGAATAGCGAAAACCGATTATCGGGCGTATTAAGTCGGTTATTGTTATCGAGAGAGCCGTCCTGATCAACAGACCGTGAACCAGATTAGGGACATCATAATATGCCCATATTTTGGCGTCAGCTGCATACGTCGCATGCATGTCTACATTCACATTTTTTTTTTGTTAAAATTCTTATTAAATTTTACATCCCATCTCCCTTTAGGGAAACACGATCGCTGTTATAATATTAGTAGGCACCGGTTTAGAATTCCATTGTGCAATTATAAACAGCATATTTGCATCCGATTTGTGTGTAATTTATGTTTAAAGATGGTGTAGGCCTTGAATTATTTAAATATAATTATGATATTGCAGTTTATATAGGTATATAAAACGAGTGCCTACATTAAAACCGTAGCTCCTATATGGCAAATGAATAAATATTGATATTCAAACCACTTCTCTTTGCATTTTTCGATATTTACTGAGTTTTTATTTTAACGGTATTTATTACGATAATGAAAAACATTTTAAAATCGAAATGTAAAAATAGACTGCTATTTTAACAATTTCTTTCTATCAAACAAGTATTTTATTCCCCTTCTATGTAGTATAAATAGAAACTATTATGTAGAAAAAGACATTAATCTACACACATCCTTTCCGGATAGGATTATTCAGATACCACACGCCATTGAGGCTACAAACTACAAATAATAATAATAAAACAGCCGAAATTAGTAGCGTGCTGCTAATTACAAGGGTCGAAACCTTGGAATACCCAACGCGAATAAAGGGATGAATAAGTTTGTGATCATTCTTTGGTGGAGTATTCAAGCGGCCTGTCATTAGTAGAACCAGTGTTGTAGGAAAGTTGGCCAGGCGGTGTACACGTACATAATATATATACAACGACAAAATTGTCACATAAAAGGGTAACGTTCCATTGAATACTTTTTAAACGGTCGAATTTAATATTTTTGAGTGGACATGTTGAGGTTTTATTTTAATGGCACTTTCTATATATTTTTTTATTTAGACATGTAATTTTTGGATACTGTTAGTGGCGATAGAAATCTAGAACTATAAATAGGTATATATTTTTAACTAAATTGGTAGTAAAAATAAGCATAGGGTTTTTGCATGCTTTGTAAAGTAAATGAAAGAAATAAGTTATAGACTTTAAATCACTGGTCACCTGTGAATTTACATTTGCAACTTGTAAAGTAAATTAGCTACGCAGTTTTTTTGTTCATGTAGCATGGCATGGCAGCAAACAAGGAGACGGATCACCTGAAGGTAAGCAAGCTCAGCATGACTTTGGACTTCAGCAAAACCGACGAAGGGATTAGGGTTAGTAGGGATTTATTTTACTGTGCCTGAACTGTGATCAAAGTTAGAGAATTAACGGGTTGGTTTTAAGTCAGTATGAGGCTGGCCGTCCGTCCCACCTTAGTCAGGAATAGAGAAGTCATTGGATGAATTTCCATATAATAAAAATCTGTTATTATCCTAATCGTTATGCTATCGTCATCGTTATCAACAACATTAATAATGATATCTATGACCAATCGACGGTTACATAAATAGTTATTAATTTACTGCAGCTATGGTTAATGACACAAGTTTGGAATTCATTAAGCCCCTACAAACTGTTTAAGCCCATATTGTTTAGTGGTAGCGGTAAATTTAACATTAATATCGCGGTTTAGGATGACCAATGACTCTAACCCTAGTAAAGCCACAACAGTAATAACAATAATTTTGTATTGTCACCTGTAACTTAATGATATAATTACAGGTTAATTTATTGGGTAGTGTTGGTTATTGGTGATTTTTAGAAAAAAGTTTTATTATAAGATTTTCTATGAGTCTTGGCAAACGAGGAAGCTCATTACCTGAGAGTAAAACATTCGGCGTCATTCATGGACACCGGTAACAGCAATGGAGTTACAAATGCGTTGACGACCTTCTTTGGGTAGGGAGTTGAAGATTGAGAATCATGATCCTTGTGTCTTGTGCATGTGAATTCGACTAGGTATGTACTTACATTAAATACACTATACAGTCGAAAATTTTACTTAGAAGCAATCTTCTACTTCAATAACGAACACACATTCAAAATGTACTAAACCGTTAAATTATTTATTTCTTTAGGAATATCAATCAATCGTGTATATGTAATACACAATATAACATTCATTATTTCACAAGTCAAAGGGGAAAATATTAACTACAACTGTATTAAAATCTTCACTCTCAACGTCACGGGGAGCGCAAAGAAACAAAAGGAGAATTCTATCTCTTTCTTTCCCCTATTTTTACATATATTTCCCTCTCACTTTACATCATGTACCCTTGAAAGCGTCTCAATTTTGAATGTGTTAGTGATAGGAGTACTTGTAACACGTTTGTGGGTGTGTAAGTTGTTGTGTGTTAATGTGTGTGTGAGATTTTAAGCATTTTGAGTCATCTTGTGATTCATGTATCTTGGTTTTGGTTTAACACCTTCTAATGATGTCAGGTAAAAAATAATACTGACGACTCAATAAATATTATAAAATGGTGTTTAAAATACGAAAAATATTGATAATATCGGATGCTCGGTTAGTACCACAATATCTACATTTCTATTTTGAAAACAAAAAACTTACCTCGCCTATGTCGCATGTGATATTTGCTCTTCGTAACAGTCCCAGAACAGCAAGGCTGTTCATAATAAAAATTATATGAATTGTCCACTTCAGTTGTCTGTTGCACTGTTTGAGAATTAACATGCCAACTCACGCCGATCAGCATGAGAATGGACCATCTCACGACCACTCCTAAGGCATCCATAGTCCGACAATTCACCTCAAACATAGTTTATCAAATCACAAACACTAACCACCAAAAGTTTTTAAAAGTCAAACGCCTCAATTCCACGTCATTTTTCCCGTTTCTTCTGCAAATAAAGACAACCTTTTTAAATTTGACCTTTATCTTAGACAACCAAACTCCGGCTCATTCTGTCTAATAATTTTAATCTAAAAGGAAATCATAAAAACATATTCAAGGCATTACTCATTCAGTCTAAGGATAGCCTTTGTAAGCTGATTACGCCTAGCTTTTAGGCCTAAATTCCGCCTGAATAACCGACGCGACGGCTCTCGTTAATAAATACAAAGTAAATCAACTTCGTGTGGTTGAAATTAAGTTAAAGTAATTAATTGCTAAAAGTACTATGAACTTGCAATTAATTTAGATTAGGCTAGAGTAATTAACCCACCTATGGCTTTGCCAATCATTAAATTTTGTTATACTGTACTGTAGTTAGTATATGTATTAACTGGCGAAACATAGTAATTAAGTCAGCTTAGATAGGTAGTGTTAGTAATTAAGTTTACTCATACCAGTAATCATTTTAACGAAATGCTGGTTTCAAGTTAATAAACGCTTTTGTACATCATTTCAAGACTAGCAGTATCTATCAAAAAACTCCTTGTAATAAATAATTATCAAAACTACCATTACATTCTTTTGTTAGTCGCAAAATAAACAATTTGGGATCGTTAAAAGAAACAATTTATCACGCGAATCTATCAAACACAATTGGAACCAACAAACGCAACAGATATAGCAACAAATGTCACCTATACAGTTACCCTGAATAAAAATATAATGAAAGCGATAAAACTAAATTATAGGGAACCAGAAAAAAACATTGCGTACGCCTATTTGACAATAAAAATGACAATTCTGCTTGTTGAGTTTACATTAAAAAAGTAGTACAGTATGGGGTAGCTTAATGGCAGCAAAGACCATTACACGAGCCGATGGCATTAAACACACCTCTGTAATGGAAACCGCATGGCGATATGCAACAGGGGTATATCGGCTACCCTTTATTGCGGTTAACATAGAAAATACTGTATTTGCTTTGTTTTTAATTGCCACGCGCTAGATATTCGGCTGGGCGGTTATAGGCCTTTAATTGCAAAAATATGTTTGCTTTGCAGGGATTCTAAATGGTTTAGGGATGGGAAATGATTGCCATTAATGTTTACACAGACGTAGGTACTTTATGTTTTACCCTTACTTAGTTAAATACTAGTAAGGCAAACAATGCCTAACATTAATACAGTATCATCAAATAAATGAAGATATAATAATAGAAAGTATTTTTGGATCAAATAATACGAATGTATATCGTATTTGAAATTAGACCTCAAACATAAGCGTGCGTCACGTTGGAAGTTAATCCATTACCTACATTGGTATTATCAGTAATGATCTTCTACACTCACAAATGATTACCTAAAGACATCGCTGAATAAGTAAATAAATGTCTTCTACTAAATTTAACTCAAATCTTTCGCAGCGGTCGTCATGTGACCGATATCTCTGAACGCGGTCAGGGATCGTTGGAAGAGTTCAGAGATGAATTAAATAGATAGGGCCCTTCAAAAAAGGGACTATGAAAGGGATAGATACGTGTCGAGTTAGTTGGGTTTACCCGAACTGGGATACGGAACTTAGTACATCTTTTATTCCAGTTAATATTTAATCGTGTTCTAGAAGTCTCATTTAATTGACAATTGAATACAAAAGTCTGGGCGTTAGAGTTAGGCGTTAACATCTTTTCGTCAAACATTTGCGCTATTGACTTCTTTGGTATGAAAAAAATTTTTCGGGTAAGATAAGCGCCTGGGACAAGATTGGTGGTCATAATATCTTAACCCCATAGAACAGATGAATGTAAAACATTATCTGTTGTGTTATTTTAGTACAGTGTTTTTATTATTTAAATATACCTAGATACGAAAGTAAACTGACATAATAACATACAAATTTCAAACGAAAACGTTGAATTCAATAGAATGTATTATATGTATGAAAGATGTAATATTATTATCCTTCGTCCTTAATGTACATGATGATGGACCCTCGGCTAGAGGTTGTCATACAGGAGGGTATCAAAAATTTTATTTCGAATGATTAATGATGTCGGTTATACTTATCACATCTCTACGGGTTAAACGCCTGAGCGATTTTTGTTCAATTGACAGTAGATCCTTTGGAGTAAATATTTCAAATCTCCCCCATTTTTAAATAACACTTTAAGGGTATCAACATTAAAACTCATTTCTTATTTTGTTTTTATCCCTAGGGATCAGAACGTACCACGAAATGATAGATGAAATTTTAAATCGGTTCAATTTTATAATCTTAGTTTTTTAATGTAAATACAATGGAGGTTTTTAACATTGTTACAACGTTTCGAAACTGGATTTAAAAACGTTGATCATTTGATACAAAATGGCGCCTAACATCCGATAAGCATCAATATGATGAACACGATTCTAGAGATCTAAATACAAATATTTAAGTTAACGACCTGGCCATGCGTTAAATAAATTCTATGAAAAAAAAATAGAAGCTTCTGTCGTAATTCGTAGCAAATTCAAAATTCAAATTCAAATTTATTTATTTGTGAACATAGGTTATTACAATTGGTGTTACAAAAAATATTTTTTATGATCTCTATGCCCTACCATATCGGTGTACAAATTTTATAGAAATGAAAGAATACAAACATATACAGGCTTAATTAAAGTTTAAAATACAATGATTTTCAAAATAGGTCAATACTTAAATGTCTACAGTCAAGCATAACATGGATCAGAATAAAATAATAATTAAATACTATTGGATTTGTCATTAAGGAAAGAGTCAATTGAATAATATATTTTTTCTGTCAAGAACATAAACAGTCTTTTCTTAAATACATTAATATTGTCAGAATCTTTTATATATTTAGGAAGTTGATTATAAACTTTTGGAGCCATTGCGAATATGCTTTTATGAAACATTGCAGTTTTGCACGAGGCTAAATGTAATTTATCAGCTCTACGAAGGCTACTTACTTGCGAAAATTTTGAAAGGTTACGTCTGACGAACAAAGCAGTTTCAAAGATATATAAACAAGGCAACGTTAGTATATTCAAGCTTTTAAAGAAAGGTTTACAACTATCAGTTTGTTTCAGATTACAGATAGCTCTAACACACCGCTTTTGTGCAATAAATACAGTTTCTTTCCCAGTCGCATTACCCCAAAACATGATACCATATCTCAAGGTTGACGCTACAAGTCCATGATAAGCAGTTAGAAGCGTTGATTTACTGACTGTTTTTCTTAACATATATAGAGCATAAGAATATTGATTAACTTTACTACATACTTTTTCTATTTGAATATCCCAACATAATGTATTTTGTATATGTATTCCTAGAAATTTTGTACTATTTGTTTCAGCAATACGTATGTCATTGTAACTTATATTTAGGTTTAATTTATTGTTTGTTCTTTGTCCAAATTTCATAATTAAAGTTTTGTCCAGATTAATTTTTAAATTATTACATTGTAACCAATTTATTACAGATTTTATATTATTGTTTATGTCACATTCAAGTTTGTCATATTCATTATTATCAAAAACTATTGTACTGTCATCAGCAAACATTATCATAGGGTAATTTGTAGACGTGGGGAAGTCGTTGATATAGATAAGAAATAATAAAGGTCCGAGAACGCTTCCTTGGGGTACTCCGTGTGTTATAGTTCTGTAATTAGATTCGTAGTTTGTTTCAGTTTTAGTTAAATTACATATTCTATTTATAACGGTCAATTGTTGTCTGTTCTTAAGGTAAGATTCAAGAAGATCATAAACGTTACCTCTTATGCCATACGAGTGTAATTTCCTGAGCAAAATGTCATGGTCAACGTAGTCAAATGCCTTGGACATATCCATGTATAACGCTAATACTGGCAGTCTTTTATCTACTCGTGACGTTACTAGATTTAAAAATTCATAAATGGCCATATCAATAGACATATTTTTTCTAAAACCTTTTTGTTTGTCAGTAAATAAATTGTTTTTTTCAAAATAGTCATTAATTCTTTTACATATCACCTTTTCAAAAACTTTTGAGAATATGGGCACTAGTGCTATCGGTCTATAACTGGCCATATTTTCAACATCATCTTTTTTAAATAGTGGTTTGATAATTGGTACCTTCAATGTTTCAGGAAATTTACCATTTGCTATACACGTATTAATTAAGTGGCTTAAAATAGGAGCAATATATTTAGAAACTGACTTTACTATTTTTGTACATATACCATCATATCCGGTGCTAGTTGTATTATTTAATTGCATTATAATATAATATACCTCCTGTGGAGAAGTTGGAAGCATAAACATGGAAGAACAAGTATTATTTAGAGATGAGTGGGACCCCGTGTTAACTGAACAATTATATTGTACTTGATCAATGTAGAAATTGTTAAAAGCTTGCGCAATTTCAGATGGGTTATTTAATATCCTGTTATCAATTTTTATTCGCATAATACTTTCCTTAGGTATTCTAAATTTACAACTATTTATTACTTGCCATGTAGCCTTGGATTTGTTTTTTGCTAGATGTATAAAATTATTATTTTGTGCTTTTTGCGTCAATTGAGTAATCTTCTTAAATTTTTTTGAAAATTTTTTAAATTTATCTTTATTGAGGTTTGAAGGTGACAATCTATATTTCCATAGTAAATCTCTTTTTCTTTTACTGCAAACTTTAATACCACGACTTATCCATTTAGGACGTTGCCTAGTTGATATTTTTATTTTTATTTCGGGAAAGCATAAATTATAGAACAATACAAACAATTCATAGAAAGTATTAAAAGCTGTATTTGGATCATTTTGGTCGTATACTTCTGAAAAAGTAAGATTTTTAAAACAGTTACAAAATTTAATTATGTTTTCTTTCGAATAATCGCGTTTTGTACAGAACCAATGATCCAATAAACATGTTTTTTTAACAGGAAAAGCCCCTCGGCCATCGGAACCGGTCCTATAATGATGTCTTCATTACCAGGTGATTCACTACGACTTTGGTCATGAACGT